CTCTACATGGGGCTCCCCTTGAGGAACACCCGGAGGCTCCAACTGGTCCAGAATGTGACCGCGTAGGTGGTTATGGGAGCGACTCGGCACTCCCATGTAACACCTCTCCTGAGAGAGCTGCACTGGCTCTCAGTGGTCTTCTGGGTGCGCTTCAAGGTATTGGTTACCACCTTTAGAGTGCTCCATGGCTTAGGACCTGGGTATTTACGAGACTACCTTCTGCCGCTGGTAGCCTCCCACCGACCAATATGCTCCCACAGAGAGGGGCTCCTCAGGGTGCCATCAGCCAAATAATGCCGGCTGGCGGCCCCCAGGGGGAGAGCTTTCTCTGTGGGGGCACCTACCCTCTGGAATGAGCTGCCCGCGGAGGTACGGCGGATCCCGGATCTGCGCACTTTCCACCGTGCCCTAAAGACGTTTCTGTTTCATCAAGCCGGGCTAACTTGACCTAACTTTTTAAAATTGTTTTAATTTTAAATTATTAAATTATGGGTTTTAATATAGGGGTGTTTTAACTGTGGGCCAAATTAATTTAATTGGATTTTAATATTGTTTTAAATTTTGTATTTTTTGTATTTTATCTGCTGGCTGTTCACCGCCCCAAGTCCTTCGGGAGAAGGGCGGTATACAAATATAATAAACATAAACATAAACATAAACAAAAAGTAGATATCGAAAGACTGCCGTAGTTGCTGCCTACTCCCAAAGCAGGAATGTTGAATTTAGGAGAACCCCCACATTGTGAAGCACCTTTGATCAGAAGACTACAACTCTATTCAAAATTAAATACTGAATTCTTTAGACCTGTCTAATTCACAATCCCAAAACTACTCTGTGTTGAAAGAATTCAGTTAGAGTCTTTTGTTCTCTATACAGATGATTACAACCTTCCACCATTGAGCAGAACTCCCATCACATATCAATGGTATGTGGCAATGTTCTTGGGAGACAAGGGAGTCACAGATTAGACAAACATGACGCAAAAGACATTTCAGTTCACCGATGCATAGGCTCATGGGAATTCTTTCAGAAGTGACTCTTCCTACTTTTCCAGAGAGTAAAAGGAAAGGTGGGGAGAAGTACTTGCAGTAGCACAAGATTCTGTTAATTTAACCTTACAGTAAAGATAAAGCTAGTTTTAATTGTTGTGCTAATTGTAGACTATCTTGAAGGGCTAATATTATAAGTTGGTTTTTTTAGGATGATTTATGCAACTAGATAATATCACCATACTGATGATATGAAACATAATACTAATGGATAATCTGTCTCAGTAATTTCATGTAGACGTTAAAAAGAAATGGAGGAAATAGAGATCCTTGAGGGATGCTACAGAAAAGAGATCTCCAGGCAGATTCACATCTCCCTTCCCCATTGAATGAAATTGTCCATTCAGGAAACAGGACAATTACTGGGTGCCTATCAAATTATGTTTTTAAGATATTTAGGAGAAAAGATGGATGCTATAAATGAATTTTACTACACATCATACAGAAATATTTGTCTTAAAATGTGATAAAAAAAAAGAAATAGAATAATGTAAATTTAAAATGGGGAAATACTGATCTTGATAATGGGTAGAAGAAACAGTATTTAATATAGCTACAGGGGTTAATATTGCTACAGGTAGAACAACAGATGAAAAGCAGATCTGCTGTGATTTCTATCACTAATTAATTTCTTTCACTACTTAATCTAACAATCAAAAATAAAGACCACAGAAGGTAAATAATAATGATAGATGTATGCAGAAATATATGAGTTATCCTGCAATTATTGAATAATTTGCTTTAGTCATATTGTGATTTTTTTTCTGTTCACTTGTGTCCGATTCTGGGAAACTGCCTGAACAAGTGCCTGCTGTTTTCCTGGCAAGATTTTCCAGAAGTGGTTTGCTTTCTTTCTTGGGTAGAGAAAATGACTAGCCCAAGGTCACCCAGCTGGCTTTGTGCCCAAGGTGGGACTAGAACTCACAGTCTCCCAGCTTCCAGCTTGATGCTTTTCACTACACCAAACTTACTGTCAAATTAAATTTACCAAGTCCTAAATACAGCTATCACAATATCTGTTTTCAATCTGTGTCTAAAGTTATCCTTGGTAAAAATATGCAAAATTGTCTTAAGTAATTATCCCTTTTAAAAACAACTATATGCAATATGAAGAGAGAGAGAGACAGAGAAAAGATCTGTTCATACAGAACAAATGACCTGATGTCTACAATTCAAGAAATGCAACCTCAAATGTATGACATTTCATTTCTGCACTGATTCAATATGGCAAAGAGAAATGTTTAAGAAACTCAAGCAAAACATCTCCTCCATGTTCATAGTAATCATTTATATCTTTGAATTTAGATTTATGTTATAAAGGGATTAAGGATTGAATTTATGTCTTTAAAACTTAATCTTTTATTGAGGCTTTTAATATTTTTATAGTAACTATCTAATGTAAAAAAGAAGGTATAACTAGAAAAGGCAAGCCTTATAGCAGAAAGAGTCGGCTGACCCAAATAACACAAAAAACCCTAAGAAGAATATCACTGAAAATTAAAATGGACACAAGCAAAAAGGGTGCATTTATTTCCCACAGCAAGCACAGGCATATTAGAAGAAGAGTGTTATTCACAACAAAAAAATAATATTGACAGACCTGTGGAGGGAACATGCTCCCTTTTTGGTCAGAGAACATGACATAAGCAGTTTGTGTGTACACATAGCTTTTGAAACGAGGCTTAGGTGAAGGGGTGTGCACATGGCCCTGTGCTACACTGACTTTGATATAAGAAGAAGAAATTAGGAAGAAAAGCAGACATACATGGATGAATGTGGGTAACAAAATGGATGAAATGTAGTATATTTCAGGGGAGAATGTCAGCAGCCATCTTACTTCAAGAAATGCTCAAGAATTAAACAGAGATTTTCATTATAGGTTTAATGAGAAATAGAAAAAATATTTGAAGTACCTGTAATTATCCCCACTATGAAGCCTATCATCAATAAAGACCTCTGTGATTAAATGCACTTAAAGCAAAAGGACACGAACCCAGAAAGGTTGTGAATAAATATGTTCAGAATTCTGCAAAGGTGTAAAATAGTTGGGAGGCCCATCATACAATATAATTGTACAAATGGTTAGACTAACTAGGACTGAAATTTATTTGTAATGGCATGCCCATCCAAAGAAAGAAATAATTTGGGAATTAGTATAGAAATCTAAACCTGAGATGACATAACTATTTTCAAAAACAAGAAATGGTCTATGAATACATTTATATCAAAATAATAATTACAAAAAGATATTATCACAGTCAAAATGGAAGAACTTCATGTGCTTATATCTCTCTTTTACCATTTCAACTGCAGGCACAAGAATGAGTATTCATACAAAGTAAAAGAGGTCTTCCTTTCAAAATGACATTTTCCTTTATAAACCTTTGTGGGGTGTGGGGAATGACCTTACTGAAATCCTGACAGGATAGTGGAACTTCTTCAGCCTTTTCTAAGGTTTGGTTTTTAAAAGGACCTAATAACTGCATCACTAAAACAAAATAACTTCTGGAAGTATGCAAACTACAGTGTTAAACTGAGATGGCTGATCATGATTGTGAATAGCAAACCATCACAAACCAAATTAAATACAAGAAATACAAGATTAGCTAATTTTGTTTTGAATTTTGTCTACTATAAATAGTAGCTCTTCATAATATGCAATGTAAGCTACTTAAAAGTTTTCACTTTCTAAACCAGGGGTTCCCAACCCCTGGGCCATGGCCCACTTCTGGGCCCCTCCCCTCTTCTTCCACACTGGCCCACAAAACCGAAAAGGTTGGGAAACTCTCTTCTAAATGACTGAGACCACAAGTGAAAAAGACTTTATTTTCACAAAAGGCCTAGAGAGTCTCATCTGGTATCTTCTTTTGAGTATGGAAAGACCATCAAATAGCAATTAAGTATTCGTTGGTAAGAAAATTTGCTTGAAGAGTTAAGAAATATTTTGTCAGAAAAACTTTACATATGAATTGTTAATATTCAACCACAATATGTCCTGGGATGCTTGATTTGAATCTTTATTTAATTATTCAGCTTCTGCTACTTTTTAAGTTCATATTATCATCAGAACATCACATTCTAGAAAGAAGCTTATCTGAAACATATAATAGGACCTGGCATCTATTAGATTTGGCTAAAAAGAAAACTTCTTCGTGTGAGAAATGAAAAATTATGGTAATTTATACAAACATGACCTGAGCATATTAAATAATTAATATATGAAATACTTCCCTAGTAGATCTACTGATGAATAGTTTCCACTTATTCATGCTTTTTCATATATGCATATTGTTAAAAGAAACAAGCAAATAGACAATGAAATAACATTAAGCAATTTAAAAAATCAAGTAGCTTTTACTAAATTATTATAATCCTGAAAATTTTGGGTTGGCAAAGTCTTAATAATGTCAGAATAAGTGTCCTGGCATTTACCTTACTGTTTCAGTTTTTTTTAAATGTGTGCATATTATTGAAGCTTAATATACATTACATGAAACACAAAAATAACAAAAATCTACATTTTTACATCAGCACTTTCAACATGCAGAACAGTTAAAATATAATCCATGCAAATAAGATCTGAAATCAATGAAAGGCAACCTTTTCCAGGTTGAAAAAGAAGAACTATAATTAAAAAAATGATTTATGGATAGGTCTAGAATATTTCAGCTTGTGGGGAAAAGTGATCAAGACTTGGGCAAAAATAATAAGAATCTCACCAGCTGTTCCAAATATCTTAACATTTCTACCCAAATTAATTTTCAGTAATAATCCTTGTAAATTGTTAAATGACAGATTTTTATAACAACTACAGAGAAGTTCAGTAACTTTATGGTTTCATAATTGGAGTTTCTTTACCTTTTAAAGAAACACAAAACAAGTACACAAATAACTGCAGGAATTTACTGTTCACTAGTCTCAAATAACAGGGTGGAAAAACATATGACTCACCAGTTGAGAAAACCGTTGTGGATGTAATTGGATTTGTTGTTCTCTAATGTGCTTTACTTCCTGTGGCAATGTTTCAACTTCATGGATGGCTTCTAGAGTAACCTTCTGGGGCAGGACTTGGAAAAGTGATGTCACATACATCAAGATGGATTTCTTGTCAGGATAAGTTGTTGCAACATCTGCACGTGCACATTAAACATACAAAAAATATACTGTTTATAAGACTTCATAGAAAGAGGCTCCTCAGTAATTCATTTTTCATTTAAATTGACAGTAAACTAAAAACTGAATAGCTGTGAAGGATCATGCCAAGGCCCAGCTAAAATTTAATTAATGAATGCTACATCCAAAGTGAAACAAAATATATAAATACATGGCTCATTTAAGCATTTGTGAGTTTTCTTGACTGCTATTTTAATGTCCTTTTTATTGCTTTTAAGTCTGGTTGTTGTTATTTTTTTACTGTTTTTATTCTGTTTCAACTGTGAGATGCTCAGAGTCATAAATATGAAATGGGTGGCTTATCAATTTACTAAATAAATAAGAAACAACAGTTAAGAAAAGAAGAAAAAACCCTATTCGCTCATAATTCCTACATATTTTCTCATTCATAATTCTTATTCTTTCAACATTTAAATACAAAAAAATACTTATTCATAATAATAATCTTATAGGTAGCCAAACAAGATTAATATTTTATTTGAAATATTGTACAGTGTATAAAATAACTGAAGAAATTGTATCAGTCTAATTGAAATGGAATTAGCTGGAATTAGAGATGAAAAGAAAAAGAAAACGAACTGAATTTGGATGTAACATATTGATAAGAACTGCATCCAAATTCACATATACACTAAATCAGGAGTGTCAAGCTTGATTTCATTGAGGGCCCTATCAGGGTTGTGTTTGACCACGGAGGGCCAAGGGCGTGGGGTGGGGCATGGCCATGGTGGGCGTTTGACACACCATGAATTTACTGTGGCAAAAATGCTCAAGATGCATTTTTTCCCTTTGCATTCAAAACAGCAGTTCCAGACAAAGAGAGATTTACTGTCCAACAGTCTATCAATCGTTGTTACTAGTTCTGACACAGCCCTAGAGGAGGACTTAATATTAGTAATAATTTACAAAATTGATATACCACCCAATTCTCAATGACCCTGGGTGGCTCACAACAATTAAAAAAATTACAATTAAATCAATCACAGGTAAAAGATAAAAGATGACAAATTCAGTGATACGAGGGGGCTCACTCTCTCACATCAAAGACCTGGGTGAAGAGCCAGATATTTTTGGCTCTTCTGAACAACAACCATTCAGATCTTGCAGGGTACCTAGTTCTAGTTGGCAGATGCTGCTAAAGAGAACATGAAAAAGGCCAAAATGGGCCGTGGGGTTCCTCTGCCTCCTGCACCACTCTGCCTCCTGTCCATGGGGCCAGCCTGGAAATATCAAAGGATTGGCCCGCAGTGCCTCTGCTGGCCAAAGTGGGGGGCAGGGGGGCATGCACGGGCCCCCACCACCTATTTTCGGCCTCCACTGCCTCCTGCAGCACTCTGCTGGCCAAAACGGTGCACAAAGGGGCCTCACACAGCCCTCCCATGGCCCATTTTCAGCTTCCATGGCCTGCAGCTCTCTGCCAGCCAAAAACGCCCATGGCCCCCCTGTGCCCTGTTTTGGCTGGCAGAGGCAGCATATTTCCAAGCCGGCACTGTGGGCCAGATGTAAACACCCTGTGGGCCGAATCCGGCCAGCGGGCCTTGAGTTTGAGACTCCTGCACTAAATGATTAAAGGTTTGTAAAATGAAAAGAAAAAAGACACTATTTTATTTTCAAAATGTCACATCAAAAATGGGGAAAATATTTGCAATTCCTTATAGGTTTTTACAGTAATGAATAATACAGACAACTGCATTATCTATCTACATAGATAATCACATATTTTATTTTGGTCCTGCTGTGGGTATTACTTTCAGAAATCTAGTTGAATATAATTTTTTTTCTTTTAGTTAAATACATTATTTATATCAAAAAAATTTAAAAAAACACAAAATTAAAAGAAGCCAACATTTGTTCCTACTGATTTAGGTACATTAGTATATGCTTGAAACTTGTTTTCAGCTGATTTATTCCCCTCCCCATTTAAAAAAAAAACAAAGCAAAGCAAAAAGAATACCCAAATCACGACTAGTCTTAATTGAACTTAAAATACTAATCATCAAAGTAAAGCATTTCAGATTCGATTTCTCTTTTAATAATCAATCATAATTGGATATACAGGAGAAATACGTAACTGTAATTTTAATGAATATAAATATTCAAGTCCCAAAGGTACTTTTTTCAAGAGGCAACTGGACTTTCTGGTTTTTCTTTGACGACGTTTCGCTTCTCATCCAAGAAGGTTCTTCAGCTCTGACTGGATGGTGGGGAATGGAAGGATTTATACTCCTTGCAGACAGCTGGTCGTTTGTATTTTTTTAGCGGGTTGTTAAGGTCACCTGGAGGTTTATCTGTATCATCAGGGTCACCTTAGCAGTTCAATTTTGACATAGATAGCCTCTTTAACCCCTAAAACCAGCGATCCTCTCTGTCCAAATATGTTACGTACAACATTGCAAAATATCTAAGCACGTTATTAGCTCCTCCAGTTGGCAACACCACCCATCAAATCAACAATTCACAGGACAGGGAGGAACCAGAAGCATCGCGGCGATGCTGGCTGGGAAATAGCGGAGCTCCAACGAGCTTCGCAAACACCCAGCCAGACAAACCGCTGTCGGGGGGTCTTCAGACCAAAACTGTCTTGGAGGGACAGGGAAGAAAGAGAGGCACCTCTGAAGACCAAGAGGAACAGGCAAGTTCCTTGAAGGGTCGGAGGCAGCTCTTTGATCCGGCGGTGGGGGCGGCAGCCATTGAAACGACCGCTACAAGCTGGGGCAACTGAACTAAGATTTGTGCAGGAATGGTGATTGAATAGAGTATTGTTACCAGGTGAGTTATTGGCCAACTCACAGGTAAGGAGAAAAACTTTCTAAAGCTTAAAAGGGGTCCCAACCTGAAATAAGCGGCTAATTGGCACTTGGGAATTCAAAGTGAAGGGGGGAAAAAAACGAAGTGGAACTTTAAAACTAAAGCCCTAAAAGGAAAACTTTCTACCTGGACTTAAAATTGGAAACAATATAAGAAAAAGAAAACTAAGAGAAAGCATTCTTTAACAATAAAAGGAATTAAAAGAAAAAGAGAAAGTGTTGTCTTTGTGGATTTATAATTGATATTTTGTTGCCTGGGGATTTGTGGATTGGAGAGAGACATCTGCTGGTGGAAAAGAAATACTGCAATAAGTGTTTTAAAGACTGAAAGAACAAAGGGAATTATTGTGAGAAGTTTTTAAAGGAGTATTTCAGTGGTTGGTTTCAAATTTTTTAATTACCAGTTCTGAGGGTGTGGCTTGGTGGGCATGGCATGGCTTGATGGGCATGGCTTGGTGGGTGTGGCAGGGGAAGGATACTGTAAAATCTCCATTCCCACCCCACTCCAGGGGAAGGTTATTGCAAAATTCCCATTTCCTTCCAATCAGCTGGGACTTGGGAGGCAGAGAATAGATGGCAGGGCCAGTCAGAATTTTTACTACCAGTTCTCCGAACTACTCAAAATTTCTGCTACCGGTACTCCAGTACTGGTCAGAATCTGCTGAAACCCACCTCTGGAGTATTTGTTTAAACAGCTGAAGCAAGACTTCAAAAAGAATTGGAAAGGATAAAGTTTGAAATTGGAATGGTCTAAATGAATATCTGAATTGGACACTACTTGGAAATAAAAAAGGAAAAAGAGACATTATATGGACTTGAATTTGAATTATATATAAGTTAAAATAACAATAAACTAAAAAATCATTTCTCCTTGAAGTGACAACATGGAAAATTGGGAGTATGAGTATGAGGAACTAAGGGAGATGTTTCAAAAGGTGCAAGAAGCATTTAAGGGAAATAAAGAAGCAGAGGACTGGTTAGAATACAAAAAAAGGAAAAAGAAAAAACAAGTTAGAAGCAAGAACACAATGTTGGAAAGAAAATAATTGAAGATTAAAAAAATAGATGATTACACTGGGACTGATAGTGACAAAATAAAAATGGAGAGGGAGAAATATTTCTCAGAAAAGAAGAGAAAAGAAGGAAATGGGAAAAGATTGAGGGGAAAAATTAAGAGGGGAACAATCTTAAAAACTAGAGAAAGGATGCAGGAGAGATACAATAAATACAAAAAGAAAAAGAAGGAAATAAGACCACATCGACTCACTGTCCTTCTATTCTTCTTCTGGAGCTGTCACAACTTCAGCAGCTACTATGGCTGCCACCCCGTTGCTAGAAAAAAGGCTTCTCCCGGATCAACCAGGGACTTTGCAGTGTCCCTGGGATCATCAGGATGTGCCCTCCACTATCACAGTCAAAACAAGACTGTGAGGTCCAAAAAGGACCGTCCAGCAGCGAGGGTTTTGGCGGCGATCCTGGAGCCCAGGAATCCTCCGACCATTCAGTCACGACGTCAGCTCCTCCTCCGGCATTGATGTTTCTTTCTTTCTTTCTTCTTTTATTGAAAAGTTTTAAAAAATTTTACACATATTTTCCCCTCCCCCCTCCCCCCTCCTGCCCCAACCCTCCCCCCCAGACTTCCCAGAGCAAATACAGGGTATAGCATTTAACAAAAATAAAAAAACCATACACTAACTATCTATAGATTTATCTCCCTCTTGCACTTTAACTCCCCTTGTTAATATCTAAATATAACTATTTAAACCAATTATTGCTTGAAAGTAATCAATCCACCTTCGTTCTTGTCCGTTCTTCAATAATAAGCAAGTCTTCTTTCTTCCAGTGTTACACAATCAGAGCCCAGTTAAAAATTAACCATCACATCTCCAACCCTTACATATATTAACACATTAACAAAATATTTTAACCAATCTCAAATAAAATGTATTGTAAAAACCTTATTTTTACTTTTTACCCCATAAACTTATATTGATTCTTCCTGGAAACATTCCTTACTTAATAGCTTTGCATTAACTTATTCATCTTTTTCTCTACAAATCCACTACATATAATCATATACCATCTTCACTATTTAATATCTATAAAAAATATTGTAAAAACCTTCCCTCAACCCTTGCACCACTTATATT